TAAATTGGTCAGATAAGTATTCTTGCCCTCGATCAGTGGGAAGAACCTTAATTCTTTTATCCAACTAATGTTCAACCTTTAGCATAAAAGGGTGAAAACAATCTATTGCTTGTGATTTATGTGAGATTAGATATACATACCCATAGCAAAAATATTCATCGATAAATGTGATAAAATAACAGGCAGTATCACATATTATCTCATTAAATAAAACACAAATGTAGGAATGTATTATATCTAGAAGATCAGTTGCTCTCTTCGCTTTAAGAAAGCGATTTCTACTTGATTTTCTGGCTATACATAGTTTACATATAAGTAGGTTTATTTTGGATAAATGTAACAATCATTCTTTGGCTAATTGGATCATCATATCTTTTATTATATGAGCATGACTAGTATGTGTGTGATAGAAGATGTGGGAAAAGATGAAGTTGTCATATAAGAAGAAGGAAGTGAAATATTAACATCATCATTATCCAAAACAAACAAGTCATTCATAATACAACCATAATACTGACAACTATCATGAAATGTAAATATAACATAATTAAGCATACAAATGATAAAGCAACCATATCTAACTAAACATAAAACTGAGAGCAAACGTTTTCTCATTCCGGAAGTATAGAGGATGTCATGGAGAAGAAGCGTCCGTTCATTTCGGAATCGGAGTTGGTAAGTTCCAATCCTTAACACATCCTTTGATGTTAAATCTTCTAGCTTCCAATCGGTAAGGTTTGGAGCTCAATGAACCCTTCTCGATCCCTCACTACATGATTTTTTTGCTTTTGAATCCACAATCCATGCAGTAAATTGTGAATGAGCAACAGGTACTTAAGTGCAAACATTTGTATAGCTAGGGAAATTAGTTTGTAACTTTTTAAGTTCAAGAGATTCAAGTATAAAGTGGTCATTTTTCTCGCAATTGTAGTAAGTTATCTCTTAAATGTGTCCCTTGTCCGCCTCTTGCATTTATGCTTGGCCTTTTTCTTTTAATCGACCTCTTGTTTAGGTTTTTCCTTTTGTTGAGGTGCCCCATTTTTTGACTTACCTCGAGGTTTATGCCCTCGAGGTTTGGTTGTTTGGGCAACTAGAGAAGTTCCAGCTTTAGAAGATGAGCGGCACTCATCGTCTATCTCAAGATGATGGAAAGCTTAGAAAAAAGTTGTTACAACTTCATTGTGTAACATTAATGACTTGATATTTTCTAGGATTCTATAAGAGGCCTAAGCAATCCGAGCATTTGTTGCTCATGACCGAGTTTATTTTCCAACTGCTTCAAGGACATGTATCATTTGAGACATTTTTTGTACATGGTCTGCTATCGACACATTTGGAGGCATTTTATATGTCTAACAAGCCATCATAGATGAGGCTTATAACCTAGGAGTACAAGTATTAACATACTTCTGTCGGAGGGCATCCCACGCAGCCTTCGTTGAAGGGAATCCCCCAAATTCGCGAATGAGGTCACGACCATGGCACTTAACAAAGTAAAGTGCATGTTACGGTCAACATTGTCCTATGCCTCATATTCACCTTTGCAGCACCTCGTTCAGGTTTTTACTTAATGGTAGTTAGATGTTCAAGAGTACCTTGCTCATTTAGAAGGTATTGTATTTTTCTATGCTCTATAGGAAAACCCACTCAAAATTTTATCTTTAGTGAGATCAGCAATCACATTTTTAAAAGTTATTCCAAGTTCAAAACAACAAAATTGCAACTATTAATATGGATGTCTTATGGTTTGTTTGGTCCATGATTGCACTTAGATTATCATTTTAAGCTTGCTCATTGTCTAGCTACTTAAAAGCTTCTGATGTGAAAATTTCGTGTAGCCACATTTGATCTCTTGCTTGTAATCAACACCAAGTTTTTTTTTGAGATCTAGCATCTCAATGCCTCACAATTTGTAAGTGGTTCACCTTCTTAGATACACTCCCACCAAAAAAATAAGTCCTTATATGCGGCTTTAAAACATCAATTTTTTTTTTTTTGAATAGGGCGTACCATATATGGCTTAGCATGTGATGTGATGCCTATAAAGATTAGTTAGCCATGACGCTCTTGGTTTAGGAGACATCAACTTGCATAGCCTATACATAAGGCTGACAACTCCTCAATGTGTAAGGTCTGCAGAACTATGTGGTCAATACATAAGGTTGCATAGTACACCTACCCATGGTCTTAATATAACCATCATGTGCACTTTGTAACATCATAGGCTAACTATAGCCAAGCCTTCAAAATTGAAGCAGAAATGATAATGAGAGCACAATCGGGAACCCGGTTCCACGATGACTTTGATATCGATATTGGAAGAATCAGTCCAACAGTCGAAGCGGAAGCAAAAATTAAACAATAGGAACCAAATATCATAGCTGAGTGCTCGCAAACCAGTTTTAATGAAGAAATTTGGAAAATAATGATTAACTCGCATAGGCAAGTTTGACAACTATTAGAGCTGCCACAATCAGTTCCAAACCACAAATATAGAGCGAAGTGGAAACTCACGACTTTCTCACTCATAACTCTTTTTCTCTTAGGTTTGGGTCACTCCTTAAAACTCAAATGAGAGGGTAATTATACTCTCTCTCTCAACCTCTATCTCAAGAGGAGATCTCATACTCTTTATCATGTATGTTGTTTTGTATGTAGAAACTTCCATCCTTTTCCCTTTAATAGTGAGAGAAAGGGCCTCCTCATTCATGTGGGAGTAACCACCTCATGAATAGGCAACATTAAAATGTATATTTCATGTCATTTATGGGAGGGTAACCCCATCATGAAGAAGTGCAATCTCTCCCACCTCCATCCAATAAAGTAAAGTAAGTTATGAAGGGAGTGTGGTCCACGTAGGTGTGCCCTCCTTTTAGAGACGCACCATCATGTCTACAATTATGAAGTTCAAGAAATTTTTTTTCTTTGAACTTTGAATCCATTCAATGACACATTTATAATTATTCAATTTAAAATTTCACGGACAAAAGTGATCGTGACACCTTCTTGTACTAAAAATAAATAGCCTCTTTATATACTTTTCCTTAAAAGAAATAAAATAATAAATTATATAATTTTACCGGAGGAACATATAAGATCAGGTTCTATGTCTAGAATTTTCGAATTAAGTGAATCAACGGGCTTTTTATAGACCCAAGATGGGCCGTGGGACACCTATTACCTATACGGGGTAAATTTCTTTCCCTAGAAAGGCGGGAGATGGTCTCTTACTGTTTGTGTTGATATAAAGGATGGGGTTTCAGTGATAAGCCGACTCGTATGTATAAAATGCCGCCTCCCTCTAAAGTCTATTTTAAAGATGGATTTTTTATCATATTGTTTTATAGATTCAACATCTAGGGCCAAGATGACCATGCATATGAAAAAAATAAAATTTTTAATTATAAATATAATTTTTTTGTAAACCATTCACATATTGTTTACATCAATGTTTTAAAAATAGGGAACCTGATCTAGACTCAGGTGTGTATCACCCAACCTGTCCTAGATCTGAGATAAAAACAGGATTTGGCTTAATTGGTTGTGTGACATCATCAACCAGACACATCAGCGAATCTTGAGATCCAGTTTGACACAAAGGGTATCTTCGAAGTTTTTTTGTAAAATAAAGGCTCTTACCACGTTACGATAGGTCGGCGTAGCCAATCAACATCATCCCCCAACCGTCCGTACCCCTACTATGTGTTCATATGTAATATTTAAGTCTATTGTGAGTAATTTATAGTCAATCAAACTTTTCTAACTCTTAGATGTGGGACAAATTGTCCCCCTTTCTCACTCACACTCTCTCGTCTTTGCAGAATTTATCTTGTCTCACTCTCTCTCCCTCTCGCCTTCTCTCCCTCTTGAGAATATGTTCAATGTGGCTTTTATAAAGGCAAAATTTTAACTTTAGGTCTCTTACTCTCTCGCGTTGGCTTCTCTCTCTTACCTAGGTTTCTCTCTCTAATATCCTACTCTATTAATAATATCTTTCTTGTATCTTATTTATTAATTCATTTGCATTATAAGTGCATAATGTATTGATTTTTTTGCTATAGTTGTAAATAAGATTTTTTGAATTAGATGATACGATAAGACAAAAATTAAATTTATTCTAATTTCTATAGTAAAATAATAATAAAATATAAATCAATAATTTCAATTTCAATTTCAATATATAATATTGTAACTAGTTAGGTTGTTATAATTTTGGATGAGAAAAAAGAAGTATTAGATATTTAATGTGATACTAATTCAGTTTAGAAGGGGTATTATTTTTTTAGCCAGCCATATAAAATGGAATTTCTTAAATGCTTTTTGAATCATTTTGATGCAATATTATAATATTGAATTATACAATAAATAATTATATAGACATTCAAACAGGAAAACATCTAAGTAGTCACATATTTATGTAAAAAATGAAAGTACATAATGTAACACCTCCAATTTTTTTTGATACTTAAAAAATAATAAATAATTATTACAAATACTAACAAATAATTTATTGTTAATTTATTATTATTACAATAACTTATTTTATAGTACAATAAAAATTTTATACAATTTTTAATTGTATTAAGTTTTTATATAATTTTTTTAATCATGTTTATTATAATTAATAATTATATATTAATAACTAAATTTTATATTTTATTTATTAATTATACATCCAAACAGAAAAATAACATCTTCGAGTACTCATCTATTTTTACAAAACAATTAAAGTACAGAATGCCCTATTTTTAATTTATTTTAGAAACTAAAATAACACTATTTTTTAAAATTTGTAGTGATTTTTTTTAAAAAAAATTACCCATTTTTCCATCCAATCCACTTATTTTCGGATTCGACTCACGTACGAGTGTGACTGATTCGAGGGACGGATCCATTATTTTGTAAAGCTTGGTTTATGTACACTTTATTCGACGTCCATTTTAGGATGGACGTTTGTGCTGACATATGCAACAGTTTTCCTTATATAAAAGCTGTAAAAGGGGGAAAACGAGAGAGTGGGAGACTTCAAAAACTAGTGTAGAGAGAGAGAAATGGGCGCGGGTACTGCTGTTAGTGCAGCAGGGGTGGCAGCAGCAAGTGGGGTTAAGGGGTCGTCGTTGTCCGCAACGGAGTGGCTGCGGCGCATAATGGATAGGTTGGTTCGCATCCTCAAGGGAGGCCCCATGTCCAACTCCCATGAATTCTTCCAGCTCTGCATCTTGCTCTCTAGGTCCTGCCCTCTCTCTCTCTCTCTTTACTTTTTTCTCTCTTTCTCTTTCTCTATCTCTGTCCTCCTTAACTATTTTCCCTTTCTTTCTCTGTTTATGTATATGATTTTATCTTTGCGGTTTGTTTTGAGCCTGGTTTTCTTCTGAGTTTATAACCTCGTGTAATCATGGACTTGTTGATGGTTGTCTTAATTTGTGTTTCCTTTCTTTCTTGCTTCATCTTTAGATCGGTTTCTGTTTTTTGTCCTTTTTTCCCCTGTGGTTAGCTTTTAGAAGTACGGTTGTTTTGGGTCCACAATTTCTGCATTTTTCTTCGGATTTTATTCATGATTTTAGTTTTCGTTTTCCATATCTATGGTCCTATTTCTCTCTCCCTCTTTCTATTGTTTTATTTTTTTCCTATGTACGATGTGAGGAGAGGAGACAATTGAAGAAGAGAAAAAAATGAGATATTTTATTGGCTTGTGGACCTATGTAAATGAATTTTTGGTAGATTTTAAGACTTTGAGATTGTGGATTTGGAACCCACTCTCTTCCCTAAGCAATTGAAGCCTACATAGATGGAGATTAGGACATATCAGTTTGCATTTTGCAGTGAGAAGAGTTTCTGGTTGTTTATATAAGCTAGGGTTGATTTTAGTGAACTTTTTCGTGGGTAATACTGCTTCTTTTGATGGTTATAAAGGCCCAGTTTTTGTAACCTGGGTACATGTTACAGGTTGTAGCGGATAAATTATTTTTGGTAGTACTTCTGATTGGGGAATTGCTCAAAGAGAGAGGGAATAAAGACCTTTGGAGGTTCTATGGTTCAGTTTGTATGAGTTTTTGAAGAGGGAAGTGGAATAACATTTTGTGATTCTTGCTACATTTTTTTTTCCTTTTTTTTTTGTGTGTGTGTGTGTGTGTGTGTGTGTGTTGAAAGCAGTTTGTTTGTAGATTTCTTGAAAATGTGGTATTTTCAGGTGTTTTATGCAATTATGTGGAGTACCAAGTGTTGCAGACATCAAGTTGATGTAAAAATTAAGTTTTTATGTGATTGATCTGAAGTTGGTCTCTTGTCCAGTTACAAGATTGTCCAGGGCATTTGATTTCATGTGTTGGGGGGGTTTAGGTCTTAAGTCTAGTGTCACTTTGACTAGATGCATAATGGGGTCTTAGAATGAGCTCAGTTCTACTTTTCTTCCCTATATAAAAGCAAACAAGGTTTCCTACTGGTTAATTGTGTAAAACGTTTCAACATTGATGTCTTCACTTCTCCTTTATCCACCCAATAACACTCACCTCAACTAGAGGTTCGATAGAAAAATAAAAAGAACTCTGGATTAACCCAAGAAAGAAGTGGGAAGAAGATTGATGGGAGACAGATAGGAGGAAGATTGATTCCTTGAATTCAAGCATATATCTTGCAACACATACCCATGTTTAATGTGAGAGCATCTTAGCTCCCTTTATGTATAGCTAGATGAAGGATATAGAAAAATAGTAAGAGCACCTTAGTGAATGTTTTCCTCATTTCTAGACTAGCAAACATATTCCCCCCCTAATCAAGAGGAATTTGGTAGGTTTGCTACTATCTTTCTATAAGAATTTTTTTGGATGCGCTTCCCTTTGGCTGTATCCCTTTTTAAGTATGGAATCCTATCCTAAATAGTTGGGAAAAGGCTTTGATGATGATGATGAAGAAATATGGAATCAATGTTCGAAAATTCGTTCGCCCAGCTACCTAGGCGGTCGCTAGGCGCAAAAATTTCAAAAATGGCTAGGTGCTAGTTAGGCTATTTGGCATCTTGTGTCTAGGTACCCACCTAGGCGCTACAGTCTAGGTGGCCGCCTAGGCGTTGGCTTGTGACAGTTTGTCAAATGGTAAAAAAAGCCTCGGCGAGGGTCTAAATTTGTCATTTCCCTCTCTAAAAATGGGGCAAAAGGGTTTTGGGGGGATATTCTAAACCCCAAAACCAAAACCTTGTCTTTTAGAGAGAGAAAAACTCCCCAAAAACCTCTTTTGTGATTTATTGAAAGATCGACAAACTTTTGATTTTTTTGATCACTTCTCAAAACAAAGGCAATAGTTCGTGGGTGTTTAAGTATGGAATAATACATAAGAAAGATATGGCGACTTATGGATTCACTAAGGGTATGACCCTTGATAGAGCAGAATGACGGACCAAGATTTGTGTAGCCTACCCTAAATAGTTGGGAAAAGGCTCTGATGATGACGATGAAGAAGTATGGTATCAATGTTCGAAAATTCGTTCGCCCAGCGGCCTAGGAGGTTGCTAGGCACAAAAATTTCAAAATAGCCTAGGTGCTAGTTAGGCTATTAGGCATCTTGCGTCTAGGTACCCGCCTAGGCGCTATAGTCTAGGTGGCTGCCTAGGCATTGCCTTGTGACAGTTTGTCAAATGGTAAAAAAAGCCTCGACGAGGGTCAAAATTTGTCATTTCCCTCTCTAGAAATGGGGGAAAAGGGTTTTGGGGGATATTCTAAACCCCAAAACCAAAACCTTGCCTTTTGGAGAGAGAAAAACTCCCCAAAAACCTCTCTTTTGTGATTTATTAAAAGATCGACGAACTTTCGATTTTTTGATCACTTCTCAAAACAAAGGCAATAGTTCATGGGTGTTTTTGGTGCTTCTAATAGTAAATTTTGAGGTCTTTTGGCGACCCAATAGATAAGGTTTGCACCGACATTGATTTGATTTTGATATTTTTAAAGTATTATCATATTTGAATAAGGGTTTTGATTTGATTTTGTTATAACGTTGTGAATCATTTGTTTTTCTTTTATTTTTTCTTTTGCTTTTTCTTTTACGATATATCTACATGTTAGTGATTTATTGAATTTTCCTCATTTGGACGATGAAATGGGGCTTTTGTGAATGATCATAAATTTTGGATTAAATTGATATTTTGTGAATATTTGACATCCAAAACCAAATCTTATGGATATTAATTAATAAATAATAATTATAATATAACTTTCGTCTTAATTAATAGTCCACCCATTCCTGTTCCTCGTTGGGCGCCCAGCCACCTAGCCACACGCTAGGCGCTAGGCCTCCAAAATGACTATGCGGATGCCTACGCGTTTTTGAGCATTGTATGGAATGGTACATAAGAATACTGGGTTAGGGAGAGTTCCCTTTTTTTTTGAGTAAATAGGGAGAGTTCTCTTGATGAGAGCAATATGACCACCAGACTAATTGACTCTTCCAATAAATTATGTGTCTTTTGTAAAGCTCCACAATAATTGAGGCTTTGTCAAGCTTTCCTATACCCAAAAATGCCAAATGAGCATTAGGGAGAGAGGAAGCCCAATACTCCAATTTGTTGCACATGACCTTCTATTATTGTGCTTTTCCTCATACTAATTAAAACATTCAAGTATGGTTGTTGGAAATGCTTGTGATTCCGATTCGTTTTATGAATCGGGATCGCAGAATCGCATATGCCAAATGATTCCTAATCTCGAAATCGCCGTTCGTACAAGGAAAACCGCCAAAGGTGTGATTCTCAATAATAGGAATCACGATCCAATAAAATAGGAACCATGATTCTTACATGTAGGAATCAGTACCCAACCTTTCAAGAATCGCACATGACCACATAGTTCAATGACTTCCGGAATTACAATTCGACGAAATAGGAATCGTGAGTCCTACATTACTGAAATCATTGCCCCCATAAATTGGGAATTGGGGTTCCCACAATTCAGGAATCGTGCACCCATTCCCTCCGGTATAGGAGAGAAGTATTTTGTGAGAAAGGATTTAAAGTTTTACATAGATGATTGGGGATAGACATAGATGATTCCATAGCTTGACCCAAATTATATATGTAAAACCAAGCAGAGCTTGAAAGACCAAGATGTTGTATTTTCCTCAAAATCCAAAGGCCACAAGTGGCCATGAATTTTGGTCACCGTTAACCTATTTCCTTTTTTTTCTTTTAGAGGTTTAAGTCCATGCCCCCCCAAATATACAATGAGACAATGAGCGATAAGTATTTTACTTAGTACCGTAGATGATCATTAATAAGCATTTTATTGATCACCCACCAAATATGCCTCACAGAATCCTTTACTTGGTAAATGATCAATAATAAGCATTTGGTTATTGCAAGCATCCTATATGAATATACCTTGACGTGGGGCAGCCACCCGAACGTCTTACCTTGAGGTGGGACTGCCACCCACTTCGTGATTTAGAGATACATAATTTGTTGGGTAACTTGATAGAGATTATTATACATGCATTCATCTTCAAAGTTTATTAAGTCTTTTTGGCTCTCACAACATCATAGTATGGAAACCCAGATCATTGGTATTTGACCTTGTACAAAATTGTAACATGGTACGAAAGGATTCCTGGAACTCTCTAGTAACATAGAATCGATTCCTGAAGTTCCTCCTGCAACATACAATTTGTGAACATATTTCATTCAACATTTGCATTTGAATCTTGATTTCGTGTCATTAGAACATGATTTGATGTTGATTGAAATATTGTTCGGTGCATCTAAGAACTGTGCCTTTCGATACTGTGGGACTTGCTTCCAAACAATATGGATTCACGATTCCTAAAAATTGGAATCAATGTCTCGCATATATTGAATCACATTGTTGTGCAACTATGAATTGCAGATTCTGTGATATAAATTCTAGATTCCAACCTTCCAATAATCGAGATTAAGATAATAATATGGAACACGTTCCATGAAACTTAGATGTGATTCCTATATTCCAGATTCATATTTCATCCTGAGAACCACGGAATCGTGACTCCGACCCGGAATCTTGACCTTGGTATGCTATTCGGGTAGACTATACACTTGAGTAGAAACCAAAGGTTGTCAGTCTTAAGAAACCCTTGAAGGACCATCAGGGGTTTCTGTTGGAGTTATGGCCTTTCAAGGGCTTGACCTCATCTTTTTATAGCTCTTGATACTCTTGGGCACAATGGAGTGATTGAAAGCAATGTGATTCTAGCATCTTGGCACACTGG